GCTTCACACAATCACTTAGTTTATTTCGATTAAATGAACTTACTTTCACATTAATTTTTAATTATAATAATTGAATAATTCAGCACTGATTATATAAAGGAAACACTCAAATAAAACCAACAATAAAATTACTCAGCGATTGCGTAACGTGTGAACTGGGCAACGATCGACGAACGACTGACTCGAGCTTGCGCTTGCGCTGCTTTATATATCACTCGGTGGTGGGGTTGAAGTGACGTCGGTCAGTTGTTTGTTCACTGCTCGCCCATTACATTCGCAGTTTACAAAATAATGACGGCGGCGCCGACATATATATGTAGTAAAAAGCGATTATTTTAATATTACAAACATAGACTCCAATTTTATTTATCTGTATAGATGTATAGATTATCTTTATATATCCCCTATCCTATACCCTGGGTGACATTAAACTATGGCAAGCAAATAAAAACCCTATGCAAAAGGATTAAGCACCGAAATAGTCTGCTATCGCCCTTGTGGATAACCTACTGACTTATGTTTAAAACATAGGAATTTTCCACCGCTTGTTATTCATGCTTGATATCGATAAGGAGCAATAGTAAAGAAATTCGTTTGTAAAATTATTTTTCATTTGATCGATAAGGCAGTTACTATGACGTCATAGTTTATAATTGTATAATACCTACCTATAATAATAATTGTGTGACTGTTATTTGTAATATACCTAATTGTGTGCGTAATTTTATTGAAATAAAGTGGTAAAATGCGTTTGCAACTGCATTTTTGTACGTCTTTAAACAAATTACAATCTCAGAGTAGCACGGAGTCTGGAATTGTGCACGGTATATGGCAATAAGCTCACTCCCTATTACATGGGACTCATAACATAAATAGTGATAACTGGGTGTTACTTCTGTGTGCACCTCTGCCTACCCCTACGGGGATAAAAGGCGTGATGTTATGTTTAAACACGTACTTGAACATTTTATATTGGAACTATAAATATAGTCAGTTAGGTCTTCCTGAGTGAGTTGACTAAAAGAGTAGTTGTTTTAGTCTGCTCAGAATACTTAGTAATATCTATTCAGTCATCAAAAGTTTTTTAACAATCTGTGGGAGTATTCCCACCAAGACAAGGCAAGTTATACCTTAAAATATAAGTTAAATATAAATATAAGTTAACGACTTTAAATGTGACGAATAAATTATAACAAAATGCAATTCTTTCCTTAATCAAAAATAAATTATTTCGAGTGTTCAATATACTTAATAAAAATATTAAAAAACAATCACACTTTCATAAAATGATTTTATGACAAACTTAATTATAGTATATTTCAATCATTTTTTTAAGAAATAAATATTATGTATGACGCTAAAAAACCGTGACGTCACAATACACAATCGCGTACAAAATTCATAGAAAACCGTCGTTTCTGACAGTTCAAAAACAAGTATTGAATTTGACTAGTTGGCAAGTACCCATATAATTATAACAAAGTGCAATTCATCGTGATCGGCATAGTTTATAAAACCGATAATATTCAAAAGATGGCAGAGTGCATTTGCACAGAAGCAGTAAAACCCGTTACTTATCAATACATAATATAGCTAATAGATATCAACTTAATAGTTCTTATATGTGCAATAGTTTGTAAGCTGTCTCTGTGCGGACTACGCTGATGTCATGTTTATGTATTAGATTATGAAATGCTAGTCTAGTAGACACGAGTACAGTTAAGCACAAAGGGTTGTGAGCTTAGCTGTAATTACATCTTGAAAATGATATCACGCTTTTTAGAGACTTAATATGTTCTACTACCTAGACATACTACACAAGTAAGTATACTCTTAACTCTACTTATGAGATGTGATAGTAAATATCTAAGTAATATTTGAGTAATGAACCTTTTAAGTATTTATAAAACCCACCAGTTACTTAGTAATAAATACTGATGTCGATAAGTTGGGTCCAAGCAGACTATCGTCAATAGAAATTGGGTATCAACTGTCAAAGACAAAGCAAAGAGTTACCTATTGTATACAAAAATTAGTATCCTTACTATTGTTTTAAAATATCATTGACAAATGCACAATACACACCCTCATTAAGCCTTTAACTGCCGACAAAAAACTGTTAAAGGCCAATCCTCCGCTAGCGTTGGACATCATTGTCCGACACGGCATCCAATGTGTTAAGTGCAACTATGAACTATCTAACAAGAACTTCTGTTATTCTCAAACAACAACCATTTTAATCAGTCAAAAATATAGCAAATATAATTTATGCAAATCTTACATACCGACATATTTAATTCCCTCGGCTTTCAATCCATCAACAGCCCTCTGCAGGACCTGTTCCTTTACATCCAGGAGCTGGTCTGGCGTGATGAGAGGACAGGGGCAGTAGGCACCCATGCCACCAGTGTTGGGGCCGGTGTCTCCGTCACCGACACGCTTGTGGTCCTGAGCTGGTGGCATCATGGAGACTGTCTCACCGTCTGTGAAGGCTAGGATCTGGAATAAAGAAGACGATGTGTAAAAATAGGGTAGCTTCCTCAATTTTATTTTAATGTCCGTCTGGTACATTAATTTAAAACTTTAGACAGTATTTTTTCTTTTCTCACAAAATCAAATACTTTCGACGATATATTAATTTGAAATATCGTGTGACGTCACAGTGTGCCACATTTTGTAGCACATTATGACGTAACGACCTCCCACTCCTAAACTTAGCGCCATTTTATCTAAGTATTGCAACTTAATACGAGAAAATAAAAAAATACGTGTCTAATATTTTTTCATTATCTAACTGACGGACTAATTAGACTTTTAATTTTGATACCCTGGAAACTACCCAATTGTTTGCCGTGTTTGTGATTAGAATTAGGATTTTGAATCTTGTAGCTGTAAATTTGAGGTGCCTTTTAGTATGTAACGACGGACATAGAAGATTCGACACGATGAAATTACTGATTTTCACATACGATAGTTTACGTGGCAGCTATCTTTATATATGGTTTTTTCGTAATATTGTACCTATGTATAAGGTTAAATAACAGAAGATAGAACAAATATTTATTCTATTGATTGGCTTAGTCCATCATTACAAGACGAATCAAAACAAATAAAATTCTTGATAACTCCAGTATTATATTTTTATTATAATGCAAGTGTGACTGCCAGGAAAGGGATCTCGGGCTCGATTTTCGGGTCGGACAAAGTATTACGGAGTCTCGAATTGTGTCCGGCACTAGGCTCACCCCCCTATTGCTTGGGACTCATAAAATAAATAGTAAAAAGTGGGTGTTATATTGTACAGTGTTACATTAAGTGCCGCAATGAGCACCTCTGCCTACCCCTTCGGGCATATAACATCACGCATGTTATGTTAAGTAATAAAAATGCGCAAATCCTTCTCATCAACCAATGCATGAAATCATAAAACTTTATTTATTTGTCAAATTCTATGCAAACATCCCTAAGCACGTGACGGGCGCAAAATCTCCGAGATATCCATTTATCTACTACTTACATAATCATCAACAAAAATCATGTGTTCTATATGTTCCAAACATCTCAATAATAGTGACCTCTAAAACATCGAATGACAAACAACTATGTTTTTCTTTTTTATAGATTTATCAATAAAAACCGACTAATTACAATAGCTACTTAAATCATTCCGTTATCAGAACCCCAATGGGTGGGTAAAAATATTTGAAGAATTGACCTCCACTATCAATGTATGAGATACGCTTAATATAGGAGATAAACAACTGAATTACGTTTTTGCGACAAGCAGCTGTAGCCAAATGCTATTTAGCGCTTGTCTACATGTAGAATAGAAAACCAAATTATATGGATTTGATGTAAATTTTGTCACTTGTCAGTGTCATCCCCATACATTTAGTTTTCTACTTTCTCTGTAGACAAGCGCTAAAGTGGCGTTTGGCTAAAGGCCAAGATATCCAGTTTTTTTTCCATACTTATGCGGATATGAAGAACGCATCATAATTAGAGACTCGTTCCTACACAAATGAGGATGAAGGTGACATTAAGGGATATTTAGATTGATGGACAGAAAACATCATAAGTTTCTATGGGTATTCCTTTACTGAGTAGGGAATGATGACTTAAGGTGATTTCTGTACAATATGCAATGAAGTCTACTGCATATTAAATAATACCTTTACTAGTCAAATAAATTATAGTAGCCAGAATACTTACAGAAACCTCATCTCCTTCCAGTAGCTCTTCAACCACGACGACCTGTCCAGCTGCCCCATACTTTGCGTCTGTGAGGATCTCGTCTACTGCTTGGCAAGCCTCTTCCTTGTTCGATGCAACCACCACACCCTTGCCGGCAGCAAGCCCTGAGGCTTTTACCACCAGCGCTGGGTAGGGAGCGCTAGAAAGAAGAGAATCCAAAATAAGCTTGGAAAAGAATTCTTGGAAAGCAAAGTCGACCTTAACTTTCAAATGATGAGGTGGTATTTTGTAACATCCATATATTTAGCTAATAGATTAATATCTTTAGAAGAAGAAGATTTCAATTCCCTCGTATAACAAGCTACAGTTTGGCGTCCATATGGATCACGTACATCATGAGTGCCTGTGTGCCGTACGTTATATGGGTGAAATAGGTGTTTAATGCACAGAGGTCATAAATTATATACTTACACAATTATGAATCAGAAAAAGGCTATAAATCACAAATAAGAACCAAAGAAACCCCCATTTAAACAGGGGTCCCCTTAAAATCTGTTTAAAGATTTAAAAGGTTATCAATTTGCACAATTCTTGCTATAATTGCTCAAAGTGGGCCAAGTACAAGAGTTATTTTTATATTGTTTATAATAATTTATAGTGCACTTTATTAACATCCTTGTGATAGTGTCCTTTGACTTAATTAACGATATCTTCATTATGAAATTACGAACAACTTATTGTAATGAAGGCGTAAAAACTTACAAAGTAACTGATACATATTGCATGACACATTATTCTTCAGTTACCCTATTTTTGAGAGGGGGAAATCTTCTAATGACTTCTTTCGCCTTGGGTTAGAGCGAGAGGGACTGTCAAACTCTTACTGACTAAAAACCACCCCGTTCCTACTCCTGCTTTTTGAGCCGAAGCCCCGGCAACCTGTTAGGCCTTCCGCGATTCCGTATCTTCAGTTACCCTAACAGAAACTTAATCAGACATTGTGAAACAACCCCTTAACACGTTAACCGCCACTTCAGTCACTGCCTCGCTGGTGACCGAACATAGCGGAGGATTTGCCATCAATAGTTTTCTACCAGCAGTCGAAGGCTTAATTTCAAGGTTCCTAAACAAAAACTCCTTTCTAGCACAATCTTAGCAAAACTTCAGACCAGAAATTATAGTACTGCTCATTACTTCTCTACAGAAGAAGCCTTTATCCACTTTATCCAGCTGTAGAACAATTAAAGGCTGATCTGATAATGATGCATAACAGTATTCATTCGTAATTTCCAACACTTAAGATATGAAAAGTCCCGACAATGAACTAATAGATACAATTTGGATAAAACCCAACGTGTCTCATATCGACCAATTGCAATGCACAATACCATCACACTACATCCTGTACCAAAATCCAGATCAAACCAGCTACAACCGTCCACCTATGTACCTTCACTCTTTCACCTACTTATCACCCAACGCACTCGTATTATAAACATTAGATATTCCGAGATCTTTGTACTAGTAACTAGACTATACAGGTTAAGTATAATTACATAATGATTATTAAGAAAGTAATCGATGATTACACATGTTAGAATAATCTAGTGTTTACGATAGGACTCGTGCAGTTTCATAAACAACTGACGTATTGTTCCGGGTGGTTATAGAAACTGATTAGTAACTGATTTTGTTGCTTATGGAATTTTGATTGTTACTCGGTAAACTTCCACCACTAGAGAAAAGTCTTTCTCTTAGGACTATATCTCACCGAAACACCACGGCGGCACAACCAGTCGCCGCTACCAACAAAATGTTAATATAAACTGGTTACACAACCAAGCGTACACCAGGTGAGCAGCTCTCAATAAAGCTGTATAGATTTTGTTGGTAACGGCGACTGGTTGCGCCGCCATGCGCCGTGGTTGAAAATCTATCTGCATCGATTGCAATTAATTTTAATTTTATAAATAAGGTTCTTCAATACTTTCTACGCCGTTGAGAAGATTGTTTCAATTCTTCGCATCCACAACCACCTTTATGCGCTTTGCGGACATACTAAGACTGCATTAGTCGTGAATGGACTTAAAAACATTCACTACTCAAATTATTTAATTCCTTCCACAAACGCTACATTGAATTATCGTATAATATTATATTTTCACTACTGACCTCGACTATTAACTCCAAATGATTAATAGGCAAATAAATCAGGCTGTTATCAGTCACTTGAGATGCAAAGTGCGTCCAAAGGACAATGTAAGTTACGATTTCTGGGAAGGACTAGTCTAGACGTATCCAGAAATAAATAAGGTACTAGACTAAGGGCATTTGTACTTAAACGTAGAATAAGTGGAAGAACTTGTCGATATGAAAGTCTAGACACAAGGAAGATTGTGACGTCTCTATCTATATGTCCTTGAGAATTAATTCTAGCAGCCTTGACCTGTGAGCACTGAATGAGAGTATAATTAAACTATTCAACTAAAAAGTCCTTTGGAACTCCAATCAGACATTTTTGCCTGGTGTTGGAAACTAGACCCTAATATTTACAAGAGAAAATATGTCTTAAGGAGAATAACTTTAGAAAACCTTGTTATTATGTTACTTACGTATTAATAAACTCCTTGGCCGCAGCAGCATCAGTGAACGATTTATGCCTCGCTGTCGGTATCTGATACTTGTTCATGAAGCTCTTTGACCAGTCTTTGTCAGCTTCGATGCGAGCTCCTGCCTTTGTAGGCCCGAAGCACTTGATTCCCAAAGGAGTCAGGTTGTCCACAATGCCATTGGCTAGAGGATCCTCTGGACCAACCACCACAAAGTCGATTTCGTGTTCTTTGCACCATTGCGCTATTGCCTGCAAAGGAAAATATGTTTTATACGTTGGTGGATAAAGTTGAGTTTTACGTTAGCAATTTAGTCAAGGTTTCAGATTGGATTTGCTGCTGTTGCTCATAACATGACTGGCCAAAATTGACACAAAACATACGCATCTCTTTCGACTTTTAAAGAAGACTGCTTACCCTAAGCCCTAAAGAATAGTAACAGATATCACGCCATGTTTACTGAACGAAGCATTTGGAGTGGCGAGTGAACTTGCCCGATGAGTACTGAACTTCATGATATGAAAGGTACGGGGTTATCAACGATACACGAGCGTCTATTCAATCTATAAACAGTTGTTATTGATCGCAAGGTATATGTGCGTCGTGTGTGACCATTTGATTTGACCAATCGTTGTGGACGAATTTGTCTCGAAGACTCTAGAGTTTGCAAGAGCCTACCTTATATTTACCATTTTAATTTTGATACATTTTCCAACGGATATCAGATTTGGTTTCAGTTAGTTACCTACTTTTTACAAATTAGAAGAGAATGCGGATATAAGTTCTCAAAATGCCGTTGTTTAATCGTTTTATGTATGACATAAGAAAACGTGTTATTCAAACGTATTTGTCTTACAAGATCACGTGTAACAATAAGTTTGTCTACAAAATTGATAAGTAAAGAAAAATATAACGTAGTATTTTATCAGGTCACGACACTCGCTCCTTAAGTTACTATACATAAAGACGTAACTGCTCTTAGGTTAACTTACAGCCAGCGCCTCAGCGAATATTGCATGTTCATAATTATGAGATAATACTCAACTCTAGTTTTTACGTAAGCTTCGTGTTTGTGTCGCCTATTTTAATAAGAGACAAAATCATGAGTATTATTCTCCTACAAGTCCAATGTAGACTGATGTAGGACAAGAACACTCGTACAACATAGGCCTCTCTTACATGAATTTTGCATAGAAAAATTACTTTCCTAACCCATTATCATACTGTATTTTAACTTCACAGGGAACTAGAAAGGGAGCCAAGGGGTACATTGTAAAAGCAAGCAAGAGTGCTTTTGTGTTTGTTGTATATATCGTTTTTATGTGGTCGAGATCAGAGTTGCAGGGTCACCATCTTACATCAGTTACATCGTCAATATAATATTGGCTTATGAAACTTAGGAGAACAGATATTAAAAAATATTAAATGAAGAATAAAGGAGGATAATAAAGAGTCTGACAGCACTCTCTATAGACATAACACCAACCTTTTATCCCCGAAGGGGTTGGCAGAGGTGCACATTGCGGCACTTAATGCAATGTAACACCTACTTTTCACTATTTATGTTATGAGTCTGACCTGATAAACCTTTTACACTGCGACCTTCAATCCGTCTGGCAAGCGTGGACTTATGACAAACTAGAGTTTGTTAGTAATCTGTAGGCTTATGTAGAGACGACCCTTAGTTCAGCAAACGACTGTCATGGACTGGTGATGGTGATGACTGATGACTGATTGTGAATAGGGGCCAAGTAATGAGGAAGATTAGACAAGACTCAGAAGTTCATGAAGCTGAACAATCCATGTTTCTTAGTGACGAAACAACTGCCATTGAAAAGGGCATTGGTCGCATCAGTGACCCAAATTGGTAGCGAGAGTTACAATCATGTAATAAATTCTATTTAAATTAACAAGTCCGTGTTTTAAGAACTTTGTGGGACCTAATTAGACCCAGTTGGCTACAACATGGGGTACTTCAAGAAGGAATAGGGAGTGTATAAGTTTTTTAAGGGTCGGCAAGGCGCATATAATGTCTCAAGTGTTGCAAGCGTACATAGGCCACAGTAACCGCTTTTTTTTATTTATTTATTTTTTAACTCGTTGAGTATCGTTATTATAGACACAATTATAGAACAATAGGTTTATGGGGGGAAAATCATCGAATGACTGCTCCCGCCTGGGTGAGGCGGGAGGGAGTGTCAGACTCTTACTGACTAAAAACCACCTCGTTCCTTCTCCTGCACGTCGAGCCGGAACTCGGTTACCCGTTAGGTTCTCCGTGACACGGTAACCGCTTACCATTAGGTGGGCCGTGTGCTTTTCTTGCCACAGTCGTATAAAAAAAATACTTTGTCTTAGGTCTATAAATAATATAATGAAGTCGGAATAGTTACGAATTACGATATCATTTAGAAAGTGCCGAAAAATGATACGACATTCTAATGCTAATTGATAGAAACATCAAATTAATTCTTCTTTCTTAAAATATCTTTCATGTGCATTTAAAATATTTTTTATTTGTTGGATTGAAGGACGGACGTCAACGACCAGACGGATCACTTGACGGGTAACAATACATAATTTAAGGGGTTACGATTGCTTTACCGCTCTTATAATATTAACTGTATACTGTACTGTATACTTCAGAAGCTTAAGTTCAAGGCAGTTTCGATTACCATACGCAAAAATTATGTGCCTATTTTATATTTATAATGATCTAGTAATCTGTTGTTTCGGGTTTTAACTCGTCGAGTACCGTCATCATAGACACATTTATAGAACAATAGGTTGCGGTCACCGGTGACCGCTTGGTGTTTGACAGTTTAAGTCACTAAAACTAGTTAATAAAAGATCGTAATCGAAGATCGATCGAGACGAAGAATTAAAATTTCCTAAAGGAATCGTCACACTAATATCATATATGTGAAAGTTTCTTTGTTTGGATGTTTGTCCGTCAATCACGCTGAAACTACTGAACTGATTTTGATGAAATTTCGTATACAGGAAGGGTATGGGCTGACTTAAGTGATACTTTTTATCCCGATTAAATGCTCCCATGGGATAAAACGAGAATCATATTCTACACCGGGCCACAGCTAGTAAGTCTATAAATAAATTGATTAAAAGATCAGAATTCGGAAATAACTTATCTCGACAAAACCTTTTAGGTAAAGTTAGTAAAGTTTTAGGTAAATCTCCCGATTTTTTTATCATAGTAGGTACCTATTCCGGTAACCAAGCAAACGGAATAGCAACCAGCTGATAGTAGACAATAATAAGTACATTTCTACGGTGTGTGACAGTAATCTAAGGTCATCGACTTCATATCTACAGAACAGATAAACGCAGAAGGTTAAGGAGCATTATGACACTTCTTTTAATATATTTTTTACGTATTTTAATGTAGTTTTCACACTTTACTTAGTGAATTTTGGTGGTTTAAGTAAATATCCGATTGCGAACGTGTTTATTAGGTACGTATTCTATCGTAAATAGCTAAATGGATTTTGACAAATTTTAAAAGGGAGATAAACGCCGTGGAGGCAGCCGTTGCTACGATATTTTAAAAGAATAAATTAGGTTTTTTATTATAGACAATTGAAGTATGTAATTATAACTATCTCAGACGAACGATACACACGTTTTGTTTATATGCAAAAGTAAAAAATCAAGCACATATGTTGGTTTTCTGAACTTTTCTGTATTTCGTGTTTTTAGGTTTTGACTTCTTTAATTGAAATTCTTCATAACAGTTAGCTGACATTTTAAGAATTAAGAAAACTCGTAAAATTTAAAATTATAGATTATGTTATGGTATTATATTATATTATTAATTATTGATTTACCAGGTACAAAAAAAAACATTCAGTTCTATTACATTTTTTATTTTGTACAACACAACAACTCCATACAGTTAGTTACAGTTACAGTTTACATTTTTTATTTTGTATTTTAGTCGGCATTCATTTATTTAAGTATGTATTTTACATAAAGTTTATGATAGTTGTAATAATCCAACTTTTTTTTTCATTATGCAAAAATATGTGAGTAAAAATGTGTATAAGTGTGTAAGTTCTGTAAGAGGTCATGGATAAGATAAAAATGTGTCCGTTTATAACAAGTGTGACTTAAATGTTAGTGAAAGCACCAAATGTCATTTAAGTTCAGATATAATATCAGAGCCACTTTTTACGGCTAATGAGGCCAATATTTTTTTTAATAAATAAATTAATGCAAAATGTAATATGGTGGGTAGACGGAACGGTCCTAAAAAACGCCGATAGGTGTTGGTAAAAAACAAGTTTTAATTTCATAAAAGTAAGGAATGAAATTATTCTTTTATGTAATAATAGTTATAATCAACTACTCAAGGCTAATGTTGCATGATACGAAAATAAAAACGATTAAAATTGAACAAACAATTTTTTTGTAAGTGTCTAATAATTTGGCTTTAAAACCAGCTGTTTAGAAATACTGAACATCTAGTTCTGTTAAATTAAAATAATTTTCATGCTTTTTCATTGCTCAGAGCATAAACGGAATATGCACATACCCAATGTAGCACCCACTTCTTTTTATATTTAATGGGCTGACATTTGACCACTATCTCGCCTGGTGGTAAGCAATGACGCAGTCTACAATGGAGCACATTATCCCTTAAGCAACCTATTCACTCGGGCCTTTTTTTTCACTAGATTTCTGTTGAGTCTGTTAAAAATTGTGTAATTCTATTGCCATTTGCCAAACACCAGGCTCAATTTTTGACTTATATTTAAAAAAACAATACCTTTCCTTTAAAAAATTAATTGTTGATTTCATTTTTATAAAGAGTTTTAATTTAAGAGGAGGTTAATCTATTGATACCACAATCAAATTAATTGTAATAGAATTTGAATAATTAATTTACAGAAACTCACTCGGCAATCATACACAGGCCCTTAAAATAATAATTATGTACTCATTTATCAAGCTGTTAAGAATATTATGTAAGTCGCTGATAAAACCTCTAAGAATAAACTATTTATTGTAACAAATCATTAATAAATTTATACATGCTCCAATTAAAACTTAATTATGAACATTTTACATTGTTGACTAATTTAGAATAGATTATCTTAATTCTTGGCTACAAAAGATTAATGACATCTTTCATAATTAACTATATGGATGTTGTTGAATACATTTGTTTCTATAGTACCTAATTTTTTTTATTAATTTTGAAGTTAGTGATAAACAATTAAAAAAAGTAATTGCAGTATATACTGTTTAAAGTATAACATTTATATTCCTATACCCCAGTGCTAATAGAAAAATCATTATTGATTCGAAAATTTAATGATTTCAAATGGTTATTTTCTTTATTTTTCAAAAATAACTGAAACTTTTTAATAGGCGCCATTTCTCCAACCTTGTATGCTGTAGTTGCTGACTTAAAGCACAACGTAAGAACATTTTCATATAGTTATAGTATTCTAATAAGAAAAAAAAACTTACGGGATAGTCCTTGATGTCGAGTTCGACGCACTCAACTTTGTTTGTTGTCGCGATGCCCACACTGCCGGGTGCACAGTATACTTGCTGCACAAACGGTGAGTCCGCCAGCTTCCAGCACAACGCATGCTCCCGACCGCCGCTCCCGATCACCAGAACTTTACCACCAGACATTATTCTACCTTGTTTATTAAAACTTAGCCTATATGTCACGTGTCCAAATTACTAACTATTTATGCAACTTCTAGCTAACATTTACTAGTTAAAGCTAGACTGCGATTTAACTAAATAAAACCAAGACGCAGTTATGTTCAATTAACGTATAGCATTTATTTTATTTATGAACCACCGTCTTCGACACGCGCAAACTTTTAAATGAATGACAATGACGTTGTTCACGTTGTTGACATTCCGTTTAGTTGTCTCGACAGTCGACGCCAGCCAGAAAGAGATGACTACTAGTGTTGGAAATAGATTATCGATATCGTCTTTAAATAATATTATGAAATAATTTTACTTCTTTACTTAAAATATTGTGGTTGCCCGTTTGTGACGCTCGCTTCTCATGCATGAGAGTGTAGGTCCGAAATTGGTTTGGTGTTTCTAATACAAATAAATTTTTTTTTTATATTGTGCATTGTTGCTTATTTCTAAAAATAATCAGGAATAAATTAATAGCTATAATATAATATATTATAAGAATAAAGAATAGATATTTTCGCAAATCATATAACAATGCAAAATATCTTACTTATGTATGTGTTAATTTAGTACCACGGTTGAATATGTTGAATTAACGTACCTAGCACATAAAAAATAGAAGTCGAACACTTTACAAATTCACATTATATTAAGAATTTGGGTAATAACCTTAAATCGGGCATTGTGGTAACCCATTATACACGCACATATAAATAAACCTCTGACATTTAGGGTCCTTAATCATTTTTAAGCAAGGACGTTATAAGTTATAACGTCCTTGTTCTTAAGTGACATTGCGTTTCCCTTTTTGGACGTTTGATCCTATGAATAAACAACCATCCGAACAAAAACATAGTAGGTACCTCTTCTTTTTAAAGGCAATAAAATAACAAATGCCAAAATCAGTTCTATCGTACAGGGTTGCTACAGCACGATGTTAGTGGCTTAAATTATTCCAAACTCTTTTTTGCCAAAATATAATTGATCAATCGATAAGGATAAAATTGTATAATGTAAAAAATATTAAAAGATCTCTAAAAAATGTTTAATCATGCACGATGATTTTCATTTCACTCATCACTATTGTTACGTCAGTCTCCGTGCTCTTGTTATGTAGGTATTTGCTGTTTGATACAAAATTACAAATGTGTTTTATTCGATACATTTATCAATATCTCAACTCAAACAAGTGCAAAACGACAGAGGTCGAACTTTTCTGTGATAAAATTACATCATTGAGCTAAAATATGAACTTAAGCTGAAATATATTAGGGTCGTTACAGCGAGTTTGCCTACCACCAACTTAATGCCTGACCCGGTACTGTTAAATGTTATCAACTAAATAGATTAGTCTGCATTGTAAAATAGTTTTGGTACCTAGCTTATATTTTATAAAATTGAATCTTTATACATATTGAAATATACCTAGTCTATGAACTTATATTTATAATTTTATAGTAATTGTTTCTTTTTCCATAATCTGAATTATTGTAATTAACGACGAATAATCTCGACAACACGGTTATTGATTAAAAATAATTATTTCAACTTATTCATATTATCTTAACTTTTTAGATTACCTACTATGAAAGAAATTACTCATGTTACGATACGCTAAAAGTTATTTTAATTATTATAGTTTTACTCAAAATTGTTATACAATATATTTGTATAAGTTGTATCAATTATTCAAAATAAATAATATAGATAAATGAAAATTATAATTAAAAAAACTACTGCAACTGCAACGTTGTTTTCAATTTTTTACCGACCAAGGACGTTGAAATTATTTTTAGAGCGATGACACTACGTTCCTTTACACTCAGTATTATACAAATTTCATTAATTTAACTTGTTTTGAAAATAACTTTAATAACTTATTGAAATTAAGAATTCAATGAATTTTGTATTATTCATATGCAATATATAATAATTTTCATTTTTATTCCATTTATAATCTAGTGGGTAGAAGAAAATAAATTAAAATGACCGAGTGAACGGAACGGTTAGAAAATGGCGATTTGGAATTTATTCGTTCTTGTCATTTTGCTGTGATGCTTGCTCGCTGTGTAAAAACTTGTATTTTGTTGCTATAAAATGGCTGACACCGGACTGCGTATGAATTTCGCTGCCTTAAAGAGGGCAGATCCTTACGCTAGAGAAATAATCGACAGTGCTACCCACGTTGCGCTTTATACATTCGAAGAGAACGAATGGGAGAAAACTAACATCGAGGGTGCTTTGTTTGTGTATAGTAGAAATGGTGAACCATACCATAGTTTAGTGATTATGAACAGATTGAGTACGAATAACCTAATCGAACCAGTGTCGAAAGGAATAGAATTACAATTGAAGGAACCGTTCCTTTTGTATCGCAATGCCAAGTGTCGTATTTACGGCATATGGTTTTACGATAAAGACGAGTGCGTTAGAGTTGCGACTAAACTAAATTCTTTGATAAAAGAGTCGCTGAAACCAGTACCTGGCGAAAATATGCCACAGAATCCAGTTTATGGTACATCAACGCCTGCAGCTGCGCCGGTTGATATATTCAGCATGTTGAGTAAGGCCCAGGATGATTTTAATTCGAATAAAGGTCTAGCAGCTAACAAATGTGATTCAACACCATCTCGTGCGCCTGATATGACATCGCAAAGTGTTATGGATTTCTTTGCGAAGGCTGGAAGTGGTGCTGCTGCTGCACAGATGCCGGCGGTGTCGTCGTTACCCTCGCCGGGTATTTTCGGGCCGCGTCCGACCGACGCGCGGGAGGTACCCCAACTGCTGCAGAGGCTCATGAGTAATCCGGCACATTCAGTGGAACATATAGAGAAGCAGCAACGCTCTGTGACACCTCAGGAGGCCCAAAGTTCTAATGGCAACATGAGCATGGATTCATCGATAAGACAAAATTGTGGGTTCCCATTAAAATCGACTCCTATCGAAAAACCAAATCAGCAAAGGATATCAGGTATGAAGAAGGGACAGATGGATTCAACTGACACCAATGGAATTATACCACTGGAGAGCGAGTTGAATTTGATGCATATATCTTCACCGAAGCCTACATCTCCGCTAGCTACCTACCTGAATCAATCACAGGACATCAGTCACACGGTAAGCTCTTTTAATGGTAGCAAATTGGAAGAGATTGGAATGTATCCTATGATTGACTCTGTGTCAACTCAGCAGAAACCGGCGTTGATGCCGCCAACGATGTTCACTGCAAGCACTGGTGGAGATGTCCAGCCCTCGCCTGAGCCACTCACTAGGAACCAGCTCCTTCAAGCTTTCAATTATCTGCTGAAACATGATGCTGATTTTGTGAACAAATTGCACGAGGCTTATGTAAAATCTTTTTCAGAAAAGGCATTCTCTGTGTCATAAAATTCATTCTTTGACAGTGGCTGGCACCAACTGTGTGCATGCACTTCAAATATAAAATGTACAGCCGTAACTTGAATATAAACTGAAACAGTATAAACTGAATCTTCTTAAAAATGTTGTGTAGACCCTCTAGTTTTGTAGTGACTCATTGTTTGGAGTATTTTTAAATAAGTTTTAAACCTTTGACTGTAACCTGTACAGAGAATGAATTTTAGTGACTAATCTGTTAGTTTGGACAGAGGTTGAGAAGGTCCCTTAAGCCGCTATTTGTGATATTTAAATTGGCTCCAGCTTAAGGTTATTCTAAATCTTTTAATACATCTGAACAATACCTTCTTTGTTAGTTTTAATGACTATGAGTTCTTTGCAATATTAAAATATGTACATTTTTGAAAGACAATACTATGAGTACTTTGACAAATACGCTTTTCTAAGAGATATTTTTATTGACTTGATATGCTGCATTGATACTTCCATAATTTTGAAAGAAAAATATCTTCTTTTAATGTTAAGGACTGCAAGAATTTGCTATATCTTTACAAGAATTATTCTTACCTGTTAACAGCATAGGCATCAGATTTTTTAGGTTTTATTGTATGTTTTTATTTCCTGTAAAATTTTGTCAGTAGCTACTAGTAAGATCTGTCTCTATTCTTTTATATCTATTTTTTCAGTAAAATTTTAGTATATGTATTGAATGTTATACAAACAGAAGACTTTACTATACATTAGATACAGGGGAAATCAAATGATAAAATTGGTTAAAAATATTTTCTTTAAACATGTAAAATTTAGTCATTTGTTTAGGGGAAAAAAAATAATTTAATAAGTTATATTTCTCCTAAGAATCAACTTTCTAAGGAAGGTGTGTTGTACCAAACACACTGAGAGATATATAAGTTCAATTACCAACAATGGAGCTTTTGGAAAGCTTCCAAGGGGACCTGCCACCTAGCCACCCCTTTAAGTCTACATTTCAATTGTGAGATGTTTTGTACTTTGCCAAACTATAAAATCACCTTAAAATGTTTATGGTCGAATTAAATCGCTGACCATGTGTTTATAATCTTAAAAAATGATAAGACAAAAAAATGTTGTAACTTTAGGAAACATCTATAAAATTTGAAACCATCTCTGTGCTTGTACATCTAATGCTAAATGATGATGTTATAATCTGTTGTGTAAGAAAATTTGAGACAGCTGCGACTGTTATGATATGAAGATATTTTTTATTAATTCTCATTACTGTAAGGGAGCAGAATGTTTTGACGATAACTTATTTTGGCCTACATAATGTTGATCCTATACCTTTGATCTTAATTTGATTTTGGCCTACATAACTTTGATCCTATACAAATAATTAGTTTGATTTTATAAATGCTCCTACTATTGTTTCGTTTTGTAAACAACCGTAGTCCAGGCGGTAAGTTTTTGACATTTTTTCAGTTAGAAATGTTATCATAAAAAAATAGTCTCAAATTAAAGGGTTCATCGAAGCAAACATTTTTTTTATTTTCCTTGCAGCCACCCATTTTTTAAGACTTGTTGATTTATGATTTATTAAAGATGTGGTTCCATCATACAATTTATAATTGCTATTATACTGGCTTGAAGGTAGACTAGACTGCTGTCCATGTTACCTGTGATAGGTAATAATCCTCTCTTGGACCACTTGTAGTGGGTTTTTAACTCGTCGAGTACCGGTTTTGCAGACACAATTAAAGAACAATAGGTTGCGGTCACCGGTGACCGCTTGGTATTTGACAGTTTAAGAAGTAAAACAAGGAGAAAATAAAACAGTAAATCTTTGTTGAAATCGATTTAATATTTCTATATTACAAATCGCTTTTGAACTTTGAACAACCAGTTGAGACCGCAATATTATGGTTTAATATTTTTTATTCGCCAATACTGGCGTGTCCACGTTTCTATATAGACAGTACACGTTTTATCAAATTTCACTGCCGTATTTAAATATTTTAACCATATCGCCATTTAGAAGTATATGAGTACTTCGCTTTTGAATGATTGAATATACACACACATGTAACTTTATAATGGAAATTCTATTACAAGCACTTCATATAAAAATGATTACTTTTGCTATAACAATTTGACACCACATTAAATTCTAAATTGTGAAAAATACTTCTGAAATACTGTTCGTTATAATGGCACAATAGTTTAAAATATTTAAAAACGACTTTAAATTCTTATGTTCCGTTACAATTTTACATGGAAATTCCTATGATTGGTTGTATCGTGTCCTTGCGCCTTCGCCATTTCGGTATTTACAAATAAAGGATGATTGGGAATATTTTTAGAAAAAATAACACTTAATTTTGGATTGTATTCGATTGTTATAAATTGTGCTATGTGTTTGTGAATACAATAACTCAGGTAGCTTCAATATTTCAAATGTTTTGTATGTGTTCAATTATGATTTCTTTTACTGTCATTAAATTCTTCATCGGTGCATGAGCGTGTCTGTGTGATTACTATTGAAATAAGCATAAATTTTAATATTCAGTAGTTTGTATTAATGCTGTGGATATGTGAGTGCAAGTGCTTTATAATTACTTTTCCGTAAATGGTAACTTATTCTCAAATTCATTGTTGTATCTTATATTTCATACAAAACATTTGAATCATCTTTGACTGGGTTTTCTTCTGTCAACAGAAAATGACTTTAATCTCACTGTAAAACGAATCACCCTGTGGATTTTAAAATGGATCTATGATATGCTACATATAAAGTATATTATGTACATGAAAAAAATTGCATTAAATGGCCCTGTTTCGGGCACACTAGATATATCAAACTTAATTAACAATATCTTGATAAGATTTAAGTAATTTTTGAGGCCGAGATGTATGTTAGGGAGTCACATGGTCTATGAACACGTGGTTATGACTTAACGTCCACATTCATTACTTTGTTGCCAGTTACAACTATGTCAGAATATTCTAAGGATTAGTTGCCTAGGTAGAATTATGGTTGTTTTTCTGTTATAGTATCTTTAAAGGCAAAGTGTTTAAAATATTATGACAGTGGTTCTAACTCGGCACTGACGCGTCTCCCTCATACAAAAGTTGCCGGCGCGGCGATACCTTTTAAAACTTGATAACACCCGTTCTAATATTACACAATCATTGAATAATCAACCTTATAAACTAAAATAAGGTATAGCTGATCAACCAATATACCGTTCAAACGTATCACGATTCTAGACAAAGTATGACAATTTAGTAAACAGTCCGTTCAGGGCTACTGTGATTTTTGCAAAAACAAACAAAAAAAGTCAAATACATTTTTTTTCAATTTCTCGTCTCATCTGAAGTTGTTTACCTTGCGTATACTTAGGCGTGAACCATTTGAATATTTTACAGTATTTTTTTTAATAAAAGTGAAAAATCCTTTACTAATTTTTACTGTTACAAACAAGTTTTTGCAAAACACCACCTTTAAATGAGTCCTAACAGATTTTCATAATTTGTTTAATGACTAAAAACTATTTTATCTCAACTATTTGGTTTAAAAAGAAGTTTATTCTATATAGAAACAATTCGATACAAACTAATCATTATACACGATTTAATGTGATATAAACTAAGACTTGCCGAGTCTCGACGTAGATATAACATGTTTTAAAACTCTAATAATCTTATTCATAAACAATTGATGAACCCATTATGGCTATATAAGGTTTTGGTATCTTCTCAAAATATTTTTCAAAGAATAAGCTAAAACGTTGTATAGCCACCAGCAGTTTCAAATTATTGACGAACAAGACTGAAACATTCGCTTTCTTAATTCGCTTCACAAAGTCACTAGAAAAAGCTAATCAAAGATAAAAAAAAATTGGTATAATCAGTCACCAGAAGAATGATACAAGAAGACCAAAGAGCCTAGAGCGAATTTGTTATACGTTGACGCGACCGACATGTTTATGACGTTCAGCTCTATGATTGGCCAGCTCCAATAAACCAACCAATCAAGAGTCCTGAACGCAGTAACGTTAACGTAAAAATACTTACATAAGGCCCTCAGTAAAATGAAATTTAGAGTACTTTATGAAGCGTTTTTTAGAAAAACCGAAAAAATATCAATCGTAAATGATTCGGCATACATTTGTACCTGATAGCATATGTACCACTATCCTATTGTCATTAAGAAGTTCACAGCACGTGTGACTTACAAAGACTTGGGGCGCGTCACACTGCACCGAGTTCGATGTCCGTGTAACCGCACCTTTAGTGATTTGCCGATTTTTAAATTAATTAATGTTTCGGAAATTCTTATTTCTGTTTTAAACTACGCTTTACTCTTTACTTTACTTTATCTGTCAAATTCCTTAAAATCTGAACCTTATTGTTTTGTACTAAAGTTTGAAATTTTTCAAGAATTTTAACATTCTGCGTAGCTGGATGAGGTGGCTTTAAACTGCGGGTTATATGAACATATTTAAAAGTATTATACAGCTAAACATCTTCCATATAAAAATGTAAGCGATATTTAATGCACGTAAAGCGTAGTTCGACGACATTTTTACTTTGAAACAATGTATTAATTATTATTATTCTCGGTAGATATTGCCAAAGATCTGTTCAGTTGAAAATAACATTAAAATCAATGGAGTTAAAGTTGAAAGTTGGACCTCGGCGTTCGTGAAAGAGTTTTCGTAAAGATAAAACTAAAACTAGGAGATCAACGTTGCGCGTTCAAAAATAGGCAAATCACGCAAGACTGTCCATTAAAAATTATATTTACATACATTTGTTATTTCACTGGAAGATTATTAAAATTATTTGTACCAATTTTATCCTAATGTGAAGGATCAATTTTAGAGGCATTACTACGAGTTTTTTTTACGTTGTTAAAATTAATCTAAACGAGTAAGCGTTCGGCGCTCTGATTGGCCGGCTCTAATGTACCAACCAATCAGAGCGTCGAATGCAGTCTCGTTTCGATTACTTTTAACATAAAACAAACTGGTGCTAAGGCCTCAGAACAAAACATGTAGAATTCTTTTAATATTTTATGTTTTTCTATTTGTATTGAACCACAATATTTCATAAACGAATAAAACATTGGTACAAATAATTTAGAAAGGTTACTGTTTGAGCAAATCACCTCGCTTTTGTTGCCAAGTAAAAATATACCTCTTTATTTTTTAATCTGGCAACATCCGATTTTACGGTGCAGTCATATGATGTTTTGAAGTAATTTTTACTTTGATATTTACAAAAACGAGGGGAAAAAGAAAAGAAAAATGGTTCACAATCGCAAGCTTTGATTTTGGTGGGCAGTACGTTTCATAGTATTAAGAGATATGACCGTAATTGATATATTATGTGCGATCTTGAATATGTACACTAATTAGTTGTTTATAAGGTTGATTTTCCTTCAAATAAGAACTACCATAATAATGGTTACTAAATTCGGTTTAAAGATCTCCGGTACCAAATTATGGCCATATCTTTTAAAACCTTCTAATAAATCTAAAGAAAGATATGATTTTATTTCAGGGCTGTCAAGAAATATGGATGAATATAGATTTTGGAAGATATTACATATCAGTGCTGTTTATTTTACTAAAATATTTGATCTAAATGTTAAACCCTACAAATTTTACAAAGTCACGGTCCTAGACAACTGATTAAAAACATGACAGCCAACACGAGTAAATGTTATTGAACAATTTCATTATAAATCAACAGAAAATCTTATCAAAATTCACAACACAATTCTTATTATAACAGCAGTCATGCAATTTAAGTATACTCCTTCATACGAAGATTTAATTTAACATAATTTCCCTTTTTTCAAATCTGGTCAAGATTTCGAGACAGCCCTTGGAAGTGCAACAATGAAGCCTTAACGTTCATCCGTCTCGCATTCTGCTATACGAGCAAAAGAGACAGACACAACGCTAGAAAGTGTGGCCTCACTGTAAACAGAGGCGTATTAATATTACTTCTACGTATCGCTGACTCATGATAACAATTTTGAAGGCAATCAGATGTAAGGCAAGTTACAAAGCTTATTAAATCATATTACACACGAAATATTGCATTTTTCAAGAATTTCAAGCTACACGTTTTTTAAGGGCAACAGTTTTAATTCGTGTCATCAAAGGCGGATACAATGAACACATCAAGATTAGGTACCAATTGTTTAATAATATATTTGGAACCTAAGAGAGACTCGAGTCAATTCATGTTTCAAAATAAATAAATGTCATGGAAAAACTCAATGGGACTCGTTAATACGAAAATTATACGCTCGAAAATTGAAAGGCTACTCAAATTTAAGTTGTACTTAAATATCGTGTCATTTTGTTATTTACAAAGAATTTTATAGTGACAGAAATATACCTAAACTCTTTTATGCCGATATATGAGACACAATAGAAATCACATTGTGTCTCGCTTAGATCTGCGTTCGGCATATCATGGGTTAAGCGCGACTTAAACTTGAGTGGCGTTTGATTATTTCGACAATATAATTCATTATTTAAGCAGCTAAAATAATTAGAAAATGACTTTGTAGCAAGGGCAAAACACTACTGAAGCTCAATTTAGGAACATCTAAACATTTCCTACCGCTCGCAGTGAGACCCCACCCTCATTCTTGCACTTACATGTTCATAATAACACAAAGAGCGTTTTAAAAACGCTTCCGCCCTACTTATGTAGGCAACTTACCAACATACACATTTTTTGTGTACATTGCACCGGATAATCACTTTTATTTACGTAAACACAAAACTTAAAAAAAAATATTCAACTATATTAAATCTATATGAATAGAAGCTGAACCGCCTAACGAGTGACAAAATAATAAATAAGTTCAGGAGGCCTGTGGCGTCCATTATTTGTACAAAAGCCGGTATTTTATCTGAAAATAATTGAAAGAAAAGATTGTTTTAGTACACATGTATAAAATAAAACAAAAATATTCGAGTTCAAGGATGGTTTAAAAAAATATTTCTGACAGACACAGTTTTTATTAACTTATGTAAGTCAGGATTTACAGTGGATACATCCATAAAAACACCGGAACACTGAAGTCCGGCGAGTCTCAGGGACATGCATAACTGTGTCTTGGATCCCGCAACGAAATATATTTTAAGCTAAATAAACATAATTCTATTTCTCAAAAAAATTAATAAATCATCTGCAATCAAATCAATACTGGCTTTTATAAATCTTCACACCAAAATGGGCAGAATTTAATCAAAATTAACCTAGCAATTTTATGTAACAGACACGGACAAAAACATACAAAAACTCACAGAACAGTGCACTACCAGAGGCGGTGCAGATGTAGGTTGCGCGAGAGCACGGAGCGCACGTCGTGCGTGAACCGGAGCGCGTCCAGCACTGGCAGCAAGTTCAGCAGTGCCACGTCTAGCGGGTCCGAGAACCACGACTTTATTGGGATTGCGTTGTCTGTGGATATTCAATTGCATAATTATCTTAAACCTGTGGTAATATAAAGTTGGTATAAATGGTAGTAGAGATTAGAGTAAAAATAATGAAATTTATGCCATTAAATGTGTTAGATGCCATGCCAAATTTTGTTGGGTCCCATTCACTCTCAGACGTGAAGTTGGGTTACATATATTCCAAAATATAACACTAGGTGACTTCTAAATTATTTTTAGAGTTATCAAATAAAACGTTTCAGCAGTGATATAGCTGTTTCAAGTAGATACAATAGGAGAAAATTTTCGTTTAAAAAAAAACTGCCCCACACTAGGATTTTCTCTCTCAGACCTGGAATAACAATCTGTGGATCACACAAAGAGTTGTTCCTTGCGAGAATCGAACCCGCTACACGTTGCGCGGCAGTCAGTTGCCCAAACACCGCGACAACCGCGCAGACAATGCTTAACTATTAAGAATAATCATTTAGTGTTAAATAGTGATACCTGGAAAATCCCGGTACGCGCCCGGCGAGTTGTCCAATATAAACACCCTGTTGAGGTCGTCACATATGGACGACAAATTCTTTGTGTAGGAACCGTTTTCTGCTGTGCAGTGCTGTCTGTGGAACAATCAAGTAAAACAATTAAAATAAGTTACTTCCTGTACAGAGCAGATAATTAGCAGGAGTAGGATTGGGGAGGTTTTTACTCAGTAACGCCCCAATACTGGAAGGCTACTCAATTTATTTATTTATTTATTAACACTTCTGTATAATAAACATACGATGGCGGACTTAATGCCGGGTTGCATTCTCTAACAGTCAACCATGGGGTGATGCAGAGATGTGCAACAGTAGGTGTAATAGGTACTATGGTTTAATTTATGTGACACAAAAAAATCTATATAAATACATTTATGATTATGCATAACTGGAAATACATACATATATCCGTAGGTATAATATAAATTACATAAGATACATTATCAATATTACTAAATAACAACAATTTAATAGTATACTGAAAAATTTAGTAATATACTGAAAGTACTCGGGCGCAAGAGTCTTAAACCAAGTCTTGCCCCACTTAGGGCCGAAGGAGAATTTCATCCATACATAAAGAAAGAGGATTTTACCTGTAGAACCGCCGCCGCAGTATTCCTCTCCCATTGTCGAGTTTGTCAGCGACAGCGGCTCCGTAGATCTCCATCGACGCTGTGAACACCACCAGCTCGTACCATTGTGATACCTGAAGATTGAAGTTAATAGTTTAGTAGATTTGTTCAAATAATGTGTATTATTTTTCTATGGGAACCTTCAAACTGTGGAAGAGAAGAAACTATAATGTTATAAGGTGTGAACCTACTGTGTAGGTACTGTGATTATTGATATGCTGTGACACTAAAAATTAAGAACTCATTTGGGCTGATATGAGGAATAACTGTATACTGTATGTATACACTTGAGAGACAATCTGACATTGTGTACGTTCTTTAAGTAGAGCATAAATTAAACCTAATTTTCTTTACATATAGTTAAGAATTCTACGTAGGTAAAGTTCTATTAACAAAATATACAGTCATCGCACGCTATCAATGATGTTATGACACCTGGAAACGACAAATTGACAAGTTTTATAAATAGCTCCTTATTTAACAAAAAAAAAAAGTAAATATCTTGAATTGATAATTTTATATGACCAGTGTTATTGATAAATTCGTCCTTCATATAACGCTAAAGCTGGCTTGCGCAGGGGTAATCTTTAGATAACGTACGATAACACAATATCTTTAAATCTTCGCATTAAATTAATTTATATACGCAATAATTGGCGAAACTTTATATGAAGAATTCACGTGCTGGACCAGTTTAAAGAATCAAGTTTATTGCATAATTATATCTGAAGGATACAATCAGGAAGTTAGCAATGAAGATTCAAGATACACACAGCTAGATATTATTCGTGTAATGACATCGTTTGGTGTCATCTTCTAAGGAAATGTGTGGACGAATGTTTAGCAGAAATATAGTAACGTTCCTACATTTGAGTAGGAGAAATAAAGTCTAGTGGGTGACATAATGTTTTGAGATGAAGTTAGAGAATTACTCTCAGTTTTCAAAAGAATTTATTTAAAATAAAACTTAATAGGGATTGTAGTACGGTCAGTTCTGAATCTTCTAATATATCATTTAAGTGCATAATTAATTAGACAAGTATGCACTACCCTTATAAAAAGGTGGATTCTCCGTTTTGTCAAGTTTGTTGTAATAAAATAAAGGATGTCTACCATCGTCTAATGGAGTGTGTCGGGAACGATCCTGAGAGAAAGATTTTGATTAATTTATTGAATATTAATAAGTTAGATGTAGGAGTATTTAGGA